CTACAGTATCGAACATTCATCTTCCTCGGGTCATATGCAGAATGTTACTGTATGTACATGTTTTTGTTTTGTTTTGTTTTGCAGTCCCTGTATTTGTGAAGCTTCGTATGTACATTTTGTCATCTGACCTGTGGTTTTGTTCCTTTATGAATTATTTCCATGCCTTACATGTGTGTTTATGTTGTGTTTATGATAAGTTTTTTTGTTTTCTGTTGCGCTGCGTGCCAAATGTACTGTATTTTAAAAGGATGTGAAGGTGTATTTTAATTTTTGAAATGAATTAAATATCATGATGTCAGAAAGAAACTTTGGATTGTTTGGTGCATCATTTCTATTTCAGTTTATACATCTCAACCTCATTTTGAATCCTCATCAGGACAACAGGAAATCGTAGCGTCTATTGATAGTCTGCATGTGAAGCGTTTAGGGGACGTCTGTAAATTGAACCATCTACCAAAAATCTGAACAGGAGGCCTTTAGGGGATGTCCTTAAATTGTACCATCTACCAATAATCTGCATGTGAGGCATTTAGGGAGACACCTGGAAATTGTAGGGTCTGTGAGGCGTTAAGGGAGCATCTGTAAATTGTACCATCTACCAAACTAAATTTTATTATCTACCAATAATCTACATATGAGGTGTTTAGGGTACACCTGGAAATTGTACCATCACACAGAATGTAGCATCTCCTCAGTTTTGGTTTGTCCACTGAATCTACATTAAACATTAATATTAAACAAGATACATGAACCTATTTATCACATGAATACAATGTAGAAAATTGGAAGCTCCCAGGGAGGTGATACCTTGACACCAGCGCTGCAGACAGGAGTTCAGTTCAGTTCAGTTCAGTTCACATCTTTTCCATCTGAAACGTTTGAGAAGTTGACACGGGACGACACAGTTAAATGACAGAAGACCTTATCTGTCTCTCAGCTTGTGAAAAATGTGGTGAGACCTGCTCTGGAACAGATTGAACGCTCGGCGTCCCTCAGTGACAAAAATCAACAGTAGCTATGACGCACGCTACGTTGCTTTAGCTGCTCTGCTTTTGTTTTTATTCCTCAAGTGGCCGACCTTGAGGGGATTTCTTCAGATTTGGGCTCAAGGATGAACTGATTTTAAAAAAAATTGATGCTCAAAGGTCAAATGTCAAGGTCACATTTTTGGCCTTAACGCAAGAATTAATTAGCTAATTACGACATCATAATGTTCTGCTAAAACACTCCTGACGCCAGATATTTAAATGCAGGTCTTGTTCCTTTCCACCACAACACAGATTGATACCGTCACGTTTTAACATTTACAGTGAATCCAAACAGTAAAACTTTAATGATAAGAAATACTGGATGAAGTATATGTTGTAGTTAAAATAGAGACGTGATGCTCACATCTAGTCTGTAATGAAACTGCTGAAATGAAAACAAATAGAAAGTGAGAGCAGCAGACAGAGGAGTATTTATTGCAAGAAAAAAAATAGAGCTGCAACGAATAACCAGTTCATTAGTTGATTAATAATTTGTCTTTTTTAGTCAAAAATGTCATAAATGTTGTTTCCAGCTTCTCAGACATGAGGATGTTTTCTTGGTCACATCACAGTAAATCAAAAATGTTTGGATGTTGGACAAATTTGCATCTGTGAGAAATTATAAATTGTACTTTTCACTATTTTCTGTCATTTCAAAAACAAAACAATTCATTGACAAGTTAGAAATAATGTTTAGTTGTGTCCTTAGAAGCAAAATGTCAAACTATTCCTTTAAAAAATGTTTTAAATCAGGTTTCTAGTGGAATATTCCTATAAAGCATAAATCATGTTAATGAGCTCTGTATGTTTATATAGTAAGATTTTAATGGCGGGAACTGGCCTCCACGCTGATATCCATTACACCTGTTGCGGCTCGGGGACAGACAGGTAGGAGCGCAGCGACCCACCGCGGAGGGCGGGGCCGTTTAGGGGGGCGGCTCCCGGCGGCGTTTCCAGCCAATCGGCTCTCGGGGACCGGGCCAGCGGCTGTCACGCTGCCAGCTGAGCTCCAGGTCAAAGACCGAGCAGCTCTGGGAGTTTTCAGATCAGCAAGTGAGGAAAAGTTGTGAGAAGCGGGACCTGCCGGCGGCTTCTGTCAGCAGCGGTTTCAAGCGTCCAGCACCAGCCTGTGTGGAGTGTCCTTACTGCGGGTGAGAGGCTGTACAATCCTCGGCAGTGTTCTGAGACTGTACGGCCCCGACCCCCCCCACCCCCACCCCCTCCCTCAACCTCCAGCCTGGACGGTCACAGCGCAGCCAGCCAGCCAGCCAGCCAGCCAGCCAGCCAGCCAGCCAGCCAGCCAGCCCTGCTTTTATGGACTAACTAACAGTTCACAGGTTTAATGCCGGAGGTTTCAATGTAACAGCCACTTTCTTTAACTCTAAACTTGGACTTAACTCAGACTGTCGGGGAATTACACCGCTGATTTGTGCACGAGAGAAAAACATGACGGCCGACAAGGAGAAGAAGAGGTAAGACACTTCTTCTTTTTTTTTTTTTTTTTTTAATTTTTTTTAATTTTTTTTTTTTTAATTTATTTTAATTTATTTATTTTTAATTTCCCGTCGGTTGTGAGTTTATTAAACCGCAGCTCGTAAAGAGCCTCTGTTGATTTAGTGCAGAAACAGCCTGACACTCCGCCACTGTGACACAGAGGGAGACCTGTTGCTGCGGCGCTGCATGTGACTTGGCCCGGAGCAACAGCTCTGATAGTGCTCGTTAGAAATTACACTCAACAACCAGCGGCTTCATTTTAAAGAAAGCTTTGTGTTGTAACGTGTTTTTTTTTTTTTTATTTTTTTAACGCATTCATTTGCACCGTAAATTTGATTTAGATTCGTGTCAGGTAAGTGGTTGATATGATTTTTTTTAGTCTGTAATTGGCAGGAGATCTTGTTTGTTTCACTGACTTCATCCAAATTTTGGATATTTTTTAAATTTGATGCAACGTCAAAAACCTCTAACTATAGTTTGTATTAGTGAAAATATGAAAAATCAGGGGGCGGATTTATCATTTAAGTATCAATAAACACTGACACATCCCCACACTAAGTGCCTCTTGAGTTGTGCAGATTATGGAAGTGTGTCTGTGTCTATTCAACACTTAACCTTAAATCTTTCTTAGTGGAAACTGTGGCTCCTCAACATGAAGCTTCAGTTTCCTGAAGACATTTTGCCTCAGCAGAGAGGAGGATGCTGAATAGCCAGTTAAAGTTCACTCAAACAGAAGTCTTGTAAATGATAATAACAATAAAAAGATCAATAATAATGATAATACAGATGTCTATGTTCAGTTTTGAGCAGATATCTTTCCACTAATCTCGACCTCTAACCTCCTTTTTGAAGAGAAGTCGGCGTCTGTGTGGGACGATAACCAATCAGTCATTACAACAGAGATTTCCAGAGGTACAGGTGTCTTAGTTCACCTGTAAACTGCCTGATTTCTCCCTGTAGCAGAGATTACAGCCGTCCAATCAAACACTTGGAGCTCTTCCAGGTATGAAAAACTGCTGCCACATATTTGGGGGATTAATTGGCAGCATTCAGCAGCAGCAGCCATGAAATTTTCCTCTGCTTAGTCAGCTGACACACGGGCTCACGCTGCGTCCTGTAACCAGCTCGTCACATATGAAAGTATTCACCTGGGGATATTAATAAGAAATCACAGATCTGATTCTGCGTTCACTTCATACCTGAGCTGATCAATAACTCACCTGATTTATTTATATATTTCAAGTGTGTTTCCTCTTTTTTTAAGCCGCTTGCCATCACACACAGGTGCCACCCTGTCTTGTTGTTGTAATCGTTCACCAGTGGGGATGAGGTCATGGGCCCGACCTCGCATAACGGTGCCTTACCGGTTCGAGTTTGTGTCCTTAATTCAACCGGCTCTTTCTTCACTGAAAGATGTTTTAATTTGAGACACGAAAGAGACACTGAGCAAAACAAACATGACGTTTTAATGAAGAGACTCGAAGAGAAGATGACAGAGGAAGAATCTTTACTTCTCCGTTCACACCACTAGGAGGAGAAACATTGATTTCAATCAGCGGAGATGATGTTGCCCGACGCCTTCTTGTCTCTCCAGTCCACCCTCAGCGACTCCCTTCGCTATCAGATCAGGCCCAAACACCAGCAGAGCAGGTATTAACACACCGGAGCGTCTGTCGTCAGGGATGAAAGCGAGTCAAAGGCAAGGAGAGAGAGAGAGAGAGAGAGAGAGAGAGAGAGAGAGAGAGAAAATGACATTAGGGGGGGAGAAAAGTGAGAAGAGTCCAGGAGCGTTTCCTCCGGCTCATCGATGCCTCGGTGATTCACCCGAGAGCCATCGGCCATTTTAGGGAAGTAAACCTGCAGGTGTGTGTCTGTCAGGCTGCAGATGAGAAGCTTCTGTGTGTGTGTGTGTGTGTGTGTGTGTGTGAGAGTGAGAGTGAGAGTGAGAGTGAGCTCAGTAGTTTTTATCTCCTCGGCGATGTGTTGTGTGTTTTCCTCTGTCAGTGTGTTTGTCTTTGTATGACACAGTAGCACATTGTCGCTGCTGCTGCCTGGAAGTCATAATTGAGCTGATAAGTTGTGATTCATGACGGATGCCCGGCAAACACAGGAGCTGTGTTTATTTAAAATGCTTTATTTATTAATGTGTTAGCTCATTAACTCATGTTGATATGACAGGATGACCTCGAAGGAATGTTTTTATGTGAGCATCCGCTTTCCCGTCACGCTGTTTTAAAGAAAAAAGAAATTTACAAATTTGCTTTTATTTTCAGTTTTAAAAAATGTTGTGTAATAAAACAACGTTCAGAGCAACGAAAGTCCGGAGAAGCTCCCAAACAAATAAACCAAAAACTTGGCACAAATGACACGTACTGATAAATGGAAAGAATAGATGAGTCATCGTGGCGTTTCCTGTTTTCTATTTAAGGACACCTTCGAGTGCATAATGGCTCTTTTATTAGTGGCCACCAAAAAGACTAAATCATCATATATTTGTAAAATATATTCAATCAATCATATGGAGGATATTTTTTCAGAAAATGAAAAAAGAAATTTTTTTTTAATTTTGAGTGAAATAAAAAAATAATACTGAACTTTTACCGAAGACCATGAAAATCAAAAAATTTTCCTTTTTTTTTTTTTTTAATGAAAAATGACGTCAAAATTAATGAAATGTTGATTAATTGAGTATCGTGAAATTTTCACCCGCCTCAATTTAATGATCAACTGATAAACAATCAATCATTTGAGCTCCGGTTTCTAGTTTCTACTAATGTTAATAACAATAATGATAATAATTATAATAATAACAACAGATGAACATTAACTAACAAATGTATTTTGTAAAAAATATTGCGGGCAACAAAATGAAATTTCTTACGCACAATATCGGACTTCGAGTGCGATTTGGTCGTGGTAATATTTTTTTCCGTGTGGGTTTATTTGTTGAGTCACGTGGATGTGACGGTACCGGCTGTTGCTCGGGGCAACCAGACGAGCGATGAGACAGGCGTTTACGCTCTGTGTGTACATACAGCTACAATAAACAGGTTGTTTTAAAGCCGAAAGTTATTTAGAATTATCGGCTTTTAGTAGAAGGTGTAAAGATCTAAACTTTAGTTTTGTTGCAGACTTCACAGAGCTAAGAGAGAGAGAGAGATCTGATCAGCTACACAGTACATCTAGGATAGATACAAGTAACCAACTGCCGGCCGATCAGTGAACGCACCGGTCTTCCAGTGGTTGTTGTGGTCCGCCGCAGCTGAATAGCTTTTATTTTTTGCATCCTGGCTGACTGATACCAGAAATAAGTTGTGGGCTTGCGAGGAACCCCACTCACTTCTTTCAACATGTGATTCCACTGGAAACAATGTCCAAAGGTCAGAGTCCAGGGCAGCTGCCAGACACATATACATTACACGACTGTGGAGAGATTGATCCGTTTGGGTGTATTTTCTGTCTTCAGATCTCTCACCTTCATCATGGCCGCTGGATATGTGGCAGTATGTTCGTGACTGTGTGAATTTGGGATCTAAAAATAAACGATAATATGAACTAAAATAGCTCTGCGTTCTCACTGAGCCGTGTTTTTTTTTTTTTTCCTATTTCAGGCTTATGTAAATAAGGATGTCTATAAAAAACAAAGCAAAAAACAAAACGTGTAGTGGGTGTGTTAGATTGTGAAGATGTGACACATCAAACTTTACTCCTGTAGTAATGAGTCACAGCAGGAAATATCAAACTATAAACTGTCGCCATTGTTCCTGGAACATCAGCTTTATGGTCATGTAGTGTGTGTTCAAGAGCTTCAAGACACAATAAAAATTTTAACTTAAGGTCCATTGAGTAGCATTTTCCAGAGCTTTCTACCGCATCTATGGTCGCTCTCAGCTGATGGAGTTCGTTCAGATGTTACCTCCATGATAAAAACCTCATCACATCTGTCCGCTGAGGGACAACAAAGGGTCAACTTGCCAGTTTTTTACTGGAGCTTTCGACTAGTCGGTGGACTTTAAGCTATTTCATTTTTTTTAAAGTATATTTTTTTGGGCTTTTATGCCTTTAATGGACAGCACAGTGGAGAGTGACAGGAAACAGGGAGGCAGAGAGAGGGGGAATGACATGCAGTGAAAGGCCGTCCGATGCAGGATTCGAACCGGGGCCGACTGCAGCGAGGACTGTAGCCTCTACACATGGGGCGCCTGCTTAAACCACTACGCTACACGACGCCCCAGCTATTTCATTTTTAAAGAAAATATCATGTACGAATAAAGTAATTTAAGCTTGTAAAGTTCCACTTCTGGCGCCTTGTTGGTTGATGTTTCTCAGTTGAACTTTGACAAAGTGTCGGGGCTTTAAAAGCTCCATATTTTCTGTTTTTATTTTGGGGTTTTGATCCATAAGAAGATATATTTGTGCTTTTAAGAACCAACAAAACCATCTCAGTGTAGTTTTACATCTCCTCTCTCAGGCTTCTCTCGGTGAGGAGGCTCAGAGCCTGAGTTCAGTTTAAAGCATTGGTCGGTTTTGCTCCTTATTGGTTTTCTTTTGCTGCAGTTGTTGCATCTTTTGTGTCCCGGTCTGTCGTTCTGAACTCATGGGAGGAGAGGGGAGAGGGAGAGGGAGGAGGAGGACGACAAGTTGCCAAAAACGAGACGGAGCGAGAAGAGAAGGGGAGGACAGAGAGTTGTAAAACAAGACGAGAGGAGCGAGATAATCACACGGACACAGAGGTTATGTAGATGAACAAATGAGGAATGTAAAGACGAGTGGAGGGCAGGTCGGCCCGCACGGGCCTGTCAACTCAGCGCTTCACACGGTCGCGGCGCTCTGCAGCCGGCCGAGGCCTGGTTGGCACAGCGCCGTCATGCCTCTTTTGTGTGCTAACCCCTGCCAACCCGGCCTCCCGGCACTACCCAAACATCACGCCACTTATAGCAGTTGCTCAACCTGCGCTCTGAAAAGACAGAGGAATGCA